GGAAAAAAAAAAAAAAAAAAAAAAAAAAAAAAAAAAAAAAAAAAAAAAAAGTACTGCTGTGCAACAGTCAGAATGCCATAAAATATTAAGTTAAATTACTGATTCCTTCTTCTGTCTTTAAATACGTCATGTTAAGTTGATTTATAGATTTACATATGTCTCCTATGGGAAGGTTATAGAAAAAAAGGAACATTTCATGCAAAACAATTAGGAATCTTTCCTCCAGATCTTAGAACCAGATAAGTAAAAATTGTACTTTAAAGTGTCATGTGATAAAATATATACATAGTAGCAATAAATGAAATTGTCTAACAGATTAACCAATTGAGATAAGATTATGGAGTATATTTATATTTGGAATGTAAATGACACTTTTTCATGTAGTGATTTATTACTTTTAAGTGATGCCTATAAAATTACAAGTATCATCAGCATAAACCACTGGTCTGTCAAGATTCCTTTCTCTATTAAAATTTATGTCACAAGGTTGATAGATATGTTAAGACAAAGTTTTCAGTGATTAGGTTTTTTTCTGTTTAACGGAGAATTCGAAGATCTTTATACTTTCAGAGAAGTAAGAGCTCTACCACATGAGCACATACAAGCTAATATCTTCTCTTTTTGCAAACAAATTAAAATTATAGTTCTGGGAAGATAAAAGACCTCAACTGACCCACAGATTTAGACAGCAAGTTTTATATTTTCCTTGGAAATTTAAGTGACTATGATCGTTACCCTATGTGTTTAAGAAAAAGATTTTTTTAAGGCTAAGTTTTCCTAAGAGATGGTCATGGGCCTGGGATGACTGTGGGCAGACATGTCTTAGCAGGTGAGACCCCCAATGGGCCCCCGCCCTGCCAGCTCTAACTCAGCGTCCACTGCCAGCACCCACAGAAAAAGGCAAGGAGGATCTTTCACAGTCTTAAAGGTTGCCTCAAATAAGCTATTTAACTTGAGGGGAGGGATAATTTTATATTTTTCTTATTAAAAACCAAGACATGCTCGATGTTTAAAAAAATAAACCAGAGAATCAAAAGTGTCAAAAGTAAAAAAAAAAAAAAAATTAAACTGAGGATCTCTCAAACCTCCCACATAACTTCTACTAACAATCCCATGCTCTGCAAGTACTCTTTTTTAAAGGCATATTAAAATCATTTAAGACTTTCTATGAAAATATATGTATAATTTTATTTTACAGTAAAATGGAATCTTACTATACTATATATACAGTTCTGCATGTTCATATGGAAATCCAAATTATCACTAGAAAATTTCTTGGATTAAATGGAATCAGAAAAAGTAGTAGTTGAATTGCCTTAACGGTTTAGTGGATTAAAGCTATGACAATGGTATGCACCATTTACTTTATGGGAATTTACCAACTAATAAGAGGTCAAAAGATCAAAATGTTTCTGTCCACTGTTTACAGGATATGTTCAGCAGACAGAGCCAGGAACACACATATAAATGCTTACACTTTGACCATTCCCTTCCCCCATTCTAGGTTCCACAGTCCATGCCCCCTTGATTAGTACAACCTTTCTTAAGAAAGGGTAGTAATTAAACATTGGTTATGGTTTCTTATGCACTGTACTTGGTTGGTTTACAACTTGATTGTGTTATATTATCATCCAGTTATAAAGATTGCCATGATTAGCTTGAGATGCTGATAGATCACTATTTCAGATATTACACCCTTATCACCTTAACAGAGTTCTGTGCTCAGCTACTTACTTGTTGATTAATCTTTAGGGTGGGTCATTTTTACAGCAGGCTGATCTCCTCCAGGAATTGTGATAAGCACTAGTAATACAGTGGTGAGCAGACAGACATAATCCTGGCCCTCATAGAGTTTCCAGTCTAGTGAGGAAGACAGCCTTTAAACATGGATATAACAGATGTGAAGGGGGTTCCAAAAGAGTAAGGAGCAGTGCTGTGGAAGTATTTTAGCACCAGCAGAAAGATGCCATGATTCAGCCCCACAGGATTGCATCGAGTTGTCAGAAACTAAATCACATCAGGAACACAAAAGACATTTGCGAGACACCACTTTTAGTTTGTAAGTCTCTGTATTCATGGAAGGCATGCAAGAACTCATAAGGACAAATGACAAGCAAACAATTCATCACAATAACTGTACAATAATACACAGCATTTGCAACTTGTTTTTTATTTAGTGAATATTTCTTGACCATCTGTTAGTTATTAGGTACTATAAGCATAGGAGATACAGCATTAAACAAAAAAAGGCAAAGTTCCTGTCCTCAAGGAGCTTATATTCTAGTGGAGAAAAACAACAGTTAACAACAACAACAAAAAAAACCCTGTAAATTACAGAAATGCATAAAACTGAAAAAAGTCGTCTATATCCTACTATTCTTCATTTGTTATGTGTAAAAATAAATAAAACAAAGTAAAAATCTCCCACTTCCTCCCTTCCCCAACCAATTTTACCTCCCAGAGATAATCAACAGTAAAAGCTGTGTGTGTGTGTGTGTGTGTGTGTACTTATCGTGAATAAATAAAACCTAACCAATAAGTCCTACGACGGTGGGAAGTCTGTAGGTTCAGTCCATCTGCTGAAGGGACAAAAACTACACAAAGCTAATTAGAAAAAACAGAATCTAGATAGTTCTCTCTCGCTCTCTACCTCCTGTCCTCGCTCTCCCTTCCTCTCACTTCCTCTTCGCTCCTCCTCTCCGTCTCTCTCTCCCACCCCAGATAAGGATTTGTGCAAGTGGGTTGCTGGGGAGCAGATCCTAGCAAGGTCCTGGCAGGGGAGAGGAGGGTGAGGCAGGGAAGGGGAAGAGCCCACACGGGGTGTGCCATTGAGGAAGACATACGGTGGCCAGCTGAAGATCAGCTGGGGAAGTCAGGGGTTATGCCTTCAAGAAGCAAGGGAGTTTATCCTCCAGTTCCTGTCTGTCACTAGCTGAGGGTTAACTCCCCCACAGTTTTGGCCTGGCCTGTGCATGACCTGAGAGAAATGCCTCAGGTGGAGGACAGCGGGCACTTGCAGGAGGACGCTGTCGGTGCGCACAGCAACTGTGGGTGACGAGGGGTAGGGGCCGGGGGACATATAGCATTTTGGTAAGTTAGACATAATTTGCCCCATTATGTTCTCATGACCCTGGGTTTGCATCATTCCCCAACAATTATCACATCCTGCCTCATTTATAAGAATTTGTGTGCAATTAGAAAAAAAAATATTAAATTATTGTCTTAGCCTGGTCTCTCCCAGAAAGCAGAGCCTGAGGCAAACACTTCTGTGCTACTACTTTATCAAAAAATGCAATGCCAGGAAAGCAGGGGCAGTGAAGAATGGGAGCAGGGTGAGAACACAGAAGCACCAACGTGAGGGGTGCTTTGAGGTTTCTGAAGTGCAACTGATGGCTTAATCGTCCAGGATCATCCTCCAGGAAGGTATATACCTGCGCATCTTAGGACACTCCACCAAGAAATGGAAGGGAGAAGGATGTATCTACCACTCCTTTTCTCCCATCGTCAAAGGTTCACTTGGCAAGGGCTAGGGTCCCCTGCACGTCTGCAGCAGTGCATATGTGTGGGCACTGAGAGAATCCCGCAGCATCTAACACCTGGGCGTTAACAGAGAAACCCCAAGGCAGTCAGTCAGCAAGAAATGTGTGGCACAGGCAAGAGGTGAGCATCTGCCTGTGGTGGGCACATGAGATTGGTCTAATCTCATCTGTGGCTGGAAAAGGGACAAAAGGGTCTGGAGACAATTGAGGGCAAGAGGATCTGAAGCAGATTTTTAAATGTGTCTGATTCACCAACTGAAATAACTCACCAGGGATGACCTGATCTTCATGTGGAACCATATATCATGCCCAGAAAATTATCCTGAAATAGTGAGAAGCATCCCTACAGTGCTTACAAATTAAAATCAACTCTCTATTGTGAAAATCTGGTGCATCGAAAAAAGAAAAAAACAAAGGAAGGTGAATGGATAGAAGCAGTCTTTCCAAAATGCCTGATTGCAGTGACAACAGGTCTCTGAGGAGGTGAAGGTAGAGTTGGAAGAATGAAATGAGGAAGGGAAATAAACTGGGTGAAGCAAATCTGAATGAATTAAAAGTTAGGAAGCCTCGTAATTACCAGTGAGGTAAAGAGAAGGGGTTCTCTGGTTCATTCAAGGATTCCTCAGAGATGTTCTATAAAGAATTTTTAGCTGTCTTAATTTTTGTTCACCCATCAACTGCTATGATGCACTAATTATAAGTGTATACAGATTTTATACATATTTATAAAATCTGCATTAAAGAGGCAGAGAGGACTATCTCAAGGACACAGGATGCTCAAAATCTTTATAGGTGCTGTCCTGAAAGGTGGGCGACATGTAGAAGAGTTTATCTGTTAGAAGAACATGGGTACCAGGAAGAGTTCGGGCAGTATACGCGTTGTTTAGAGGAGAGAGGAAATGTTCTTGACTTCAATTTCCTTATAGTCATCAGCTCTATATTTATTTCTTTTTAATCTGGATATGGTTAAATACATCATGAGTGGGGACTGACGAAAAGGTTGATGACACTTTTTCTACAATCATATAGTATTATTTCAAAGAAAACTATTTTACTTTAGAGAAAATATTTAAGTGTTAATATTCCTTAAGAAAATCACAATTTAAATTCTGTATCTATGAACAAATTCAATTATTGAGTTATTCTGAATATGCACAAAATGATCTAAAAGTTTGGTAATTAATGTATAACAACAACATTTTGTTAAAATGCATTAGTGTTATATAGAAGACTAAGCATAGTAAATACAATAATGAAGATAGCACAACCTTTTAAACAACAAATATAGTTCAGTTTCAGGAAGAACAGTTGTGCAAACTACTACAGAAACCATGGATTACGTAATCATGTAACTGAGGTATATTCTTCAAGATCAAGTGCTTGGTTATAGTCCGTCATGGCTTCCTCAATCAGTCCTATTTTACCACGAACTTTTGCTCTAAGATTATGTACTAGAGCATCATTAGGCTTCAAAGACAAGGCTACAAAAGAAAAAAAATTCAACATGTTTACTCTAGCACTCAAAATTAGTCTCACTTTTTTAAAAATAAAAATTGTTTAATAACTTCTTTGATACTACCTATTTGAAAACATTTTTCTTCAAATATAACTATTTAGTTAAATTTAAAATACTGAATCTTTCTAAGAAAACTAACTTGGGGAAACTTTCTTTGAAAGGTTGGCATTGTTTGCATGTGGTTTACTAATAATTCTCTATATCTCAGCTTACCAAAGCTTTAAGTGAAAATATTACATAAAGGAATCTATATTGATGACATTAAAGACATGGTATCTAAAACATTAATTCTTATGTAAGTCTATCTAGACAAATAGGCCAATGATTTTCTTCTTTTATAGTCTAAAAACAAAAACATCAACCACTGTAATCTTACCAAAATAATTACCAAAAACATACCTTTACTAAGGTCTTCCTCAGCTAGTTTGTATTGCTTTAAACAGCAGTAGAAATATGCTCTGTTAAAATATACTGCAGCCCAAAAGGGACAGCTTTCAATTACACACGCAAAGTCTTCTTTTGCTTCTTCATATTTCTTTAATATTGTATTTGCAAGAGCTCGATTCATGAGAGCATATTCATTTTCTGGATCAAACTTTAAAGCCTTTGAGAAGTAGTCACTGGCCTATAAAATGTGAAGACAAAATAATTTGTATATATTTTAGTTGGTAGCTATACAGAAATTTGAAGCACTTCTACTCTTAATTTAAAAGTGAGGGCAGTGGCACTGGGCAGTGGAACTATTTCATCCCAGATACAGAGGTGCATTAGCTAGAGAAAATGTTAAAAGCAATAATAAAACCAGCCAAAAGTTAGTCTACTTCTTTCTTTTCACAATGTGTCAGCAATTCTAAACAATATCAATGATAAAATGCTCCTTCTTGCTGGGGTAAAACGTTCCCACTACCTGCCACCCAAATCCCATATCCCTACACAGAGCTAAAAAAAAAAAAAAGGAAAACTACAAATTAGAAAAGAAGGCCACAGCAAGAAGATAAAATACAAATCAGAAAAGTAACATTTTAGAAAAGTATCATATAAAAACACAGTAAGAGCTGAAAAGAAAAATGGATTTTCAAAATGTTTCTAAAGCATATAAAAAACTCAGCTAACCATAAAAAGTTATAAGGATTCCTTGTAGAAAGGAAAAAATCAGCTTGTCAAGATCAAAGACTCTAGATTCTTCACAACCCATCATCCACAAGGAAGGGACCCTCAAAATGTGGTCTGCAGACCAGTGCTGGATGGGGCCCTGGTCCAAGAACCATTTGCTAGAGGTCTGCAGAGGTAAGTACTGAAATTGAGAGTAAAGATAAATAACTTCTGTAGCATCTTGACATGTCTGTGAATCCCAGCAGATGACCATATTTCTGGTAATTCATTTTTATTGGTTTTAGCAATGTACTGATTGATCTACGGTTGGGAAAATAGAACAATTTAATCAGGCCGTCTCGCCTCAGGGCCAGTTGGGGGTGGTTCAGTAAACAAACTGTGTGTGTGAGGGTGGAGTTGGTGTGCATGCATGGCACCGTGGCTTTGGCTGGCAACTGCCTCGGGTGGACACAGTGCATGCAGCCATGCTTTCCAACCCGAGGCTTCCAAGGACCTGTCTGCTGTTTATCTAGCACATAGACCTGCATGTAAGGGGTCTGGGGACCCAGCCTGGCATATGAAGGGCTTGTGACCCAGTCTGTGAACGGACTTGAGGGGTCTGTGAGCTTCAGACCCAGCCCTAGCTCGACAATCGGCCCAGCTGGCAGGATTACCGGCAGGTTAAAGAGCCTGACAACTGGTGTAGTCGTGTAGCTTTACAATTGGCGACATGAACACGATTCCAACATTAGCCTGAGCTCAACATGTACAATAAGTTGAAATTTTTTTTAAAAAACTGTCCTTTCACCACAAATAGTTTGAGGTGCTGACTAGACATTCTACCTACTCAAGTTGGGAATTTCATCTCTAACTCCCTGATGGATGAAAATTTGCCTCCTACTTTAGAACTTACTTTAAAAGAAAAGTCACTTTTCTTGATGCAGCATGCTCTCTCCAGTTACTTTCCATTCAATTTTTTCCCATCTCACCATAATCTGGGTTCTATCTATCTCCCCCTACTCCATAGGTTCTGCTCTTGCTAAGGTCGCAGATGTCCTCAAGCCAAGTGGACATTTTTTAGTCCTTTTGCTCCATGACATCTCTGTGTCATGGACAATCTTGATCTCACCTTCCCTTAAAGTTCATCTTAAAATTCTATCAGAAAATTCTGTCAGAAAGCAGTGTCTTCCTGGTTTTTCTCCTGCCTCTCTGATCATTTTCTCTAAGCTTCTTTCACTGAACTATTTTCCTCCATGTTTCCCAAGGATCTGCTGTCAGTTCTATTCCCCCATGGGTGACACAGACCACTGACTGCAGGGGTGGCTGGGAGCCCAGACCATGGAGCCAGATTGCTGGGTTCAAATCCTGCCTCTTACTTGAGTGAGTTACTTTTGCTCTATTTGCATCAGTTTCCTTATCTGTAAAACAAAGGTAACAAATAAAACTCCGCTTCCATTGTTGATGTAAGGATTACGTGAGCTAATATGTAAATTACTAAGAACAACATGCAGAACGTAGTAAGGACTCAATCAGTTATTACTGACATATCATTTTTTTTCCAGTGTCTATAAATGGAGAGGCAACATAGCCTTCAGGCAATATTCATGAACTTGGCTTCCTCTGACTTTTAAGAGGCAATTAGATCAAGATTGTATAAACCATCTCATTCCTGGATGGCAGCTATTCTATGCTATTGTTAAGTGCAATTAAAGAATCCTTTGAGGGGCCGGCCCGGTGGCGCACTGCTACAGTGAGCCGCTTGAGAGCGCGGTGGCGCTCCCGCGGAGGGTTCAGATCCCACATACAGACCGGTTCCCGCTCACTGGCTGAGCGAGGTGCGGGCGCAGCACCGAGGTTTGCGATCCCGTTGCCGGTCCTGGTCCGGTACGGGCGCGACACTGAGGGTTGCGATCCGTTGGTGCGGGCGCAGCACCGAGGTTTGCGATCCCGTTGCCGGTCCTGGTCCGGTACGGGCGCGACACTGAGGGTTGCGATCCGTTGGTGCGGGCGCAGCACCGAGGTTTGCGATCCCGTTGCCGGTCCTGGTCCGGTACGGGCGCGACACTGAGGGTTGCGATCCGTTGCCGGACATGAAAAAAGACAAAAAGGAAAAAAAAAAAAAAAAGAATCCTTTGAGATGGAGACAAAATTGACATCCTTCTGTGAAGAGCTTAAAGAGAATTCACTCCCGAAGAGAAGGCTGCACTCACAGCCATCAGAACTGAGGCAAGGGACTGACTCCAGGTAGGGCCAAGACTTTCTTCATAAAGTAATTTAGGCTTCATTTTAACTCACCAATAAATGATCAATAAAGGCTACATAATTATATATCACACAAGCATGACTTCAGTGATGTAGGAGCAAATGCCCACCTTGGCTAAGAGAAAAGAACTCAGTAGAGCGTCAATAGTGCAACTAACTTTGAGCAATGTAACTCTGTATTATAGCTTCCAAAATATATTACTTAGAAAACAAAAACTTATAAATTTAATGAGGTTACTCTCCACCTATACTCTCTACCCAGGTAATCTCTTCCTGTACCACACATATGCTAATACTCATATGATAATCCTTATATGAGGACTGTATTAGGCATTTCTCTCCTTAGTATCTTCCTTATTTCTTACATTTTTTATTTTCTATTTTTTTCTCTGATAAAACGTTAGCTACATCAGAAAAGAAGCCTTTCTTGTATTAGTCAGCTCTATGTTCTCAGGGCCTTTGTTAAGGGCTAGTACATGGCAGGTATATCATAAACGTGTGGAGATTGAATGAATGAAGAGCTAAGTGGCATCAGGAACATCTGCTGCACATTCTCAGGAAAATACCATAACTCAGCAACTTGGAACACAAAGGCACATAAAGTTGCTCCAAAGATCATTTTATTAGAAAGTATAAAGACATGGGCCGGCCCGGTGGCGCACTGGATAGTGCGCCGCTTGGGAAGCGCGGCGGCGCGCCCGTCCGAGGGTTCGGATCCCACATACAGACCGGCGCCGCTCACTGGCTGAGCGAGGGGTGGGAGCAACGCCGAGGGTTGTGATCCCAGTGCCGGTCCCCGGTCCGGTACGGGGGCAACACTGAGGATTGTGATCCGTTGCCGGACACGGAAAAAAAGACAAAAAAAAAAAAAGAAAGTATAAAGACAGGGGCCGGCCCGGTGGCGCACTGGATAGGGCGCCGCTTGGGAAGCGCGGCGGCGCGCCCGTCCGAGGGTTCGGATCCCACATACAGACCGGCGCCGCTCACTGGCTGAGCGAGGGGTGGGAGCAACGCCGAGGGTTGTGATCCCAGTGCCGGTCCCCGGTCCGGTACGGGGGCAACACTGAGGATTGTGATCCGTTGCCGGACACGGAAAAAAAGACAAAAAAAAAAAAAAGAAAGTATAAAGACAATATTAGGTGGCAGAGAGCAATATATAGAGGTGACAAAACTCAAAAACAAAAAAATGCCAGAAGTAAAAACAACCTTTTATAATGAGTACATCATCTTAGAAGGGAAGGGTTGTGAAAAACAGAGCTTGTGGAAGAAGTCTTCCCAAACCAAGCTAGGCTAGGCTGGAGAGGACATATTGTGAATTCCTTTGCTGTAGCATCAGAGAGAGCCCAGCTTGGCAAGTCACCACGGCCCATCGCCCCATTTCTCGATCTCTGCTATTAGTATGGGAGAAAGAATCATCTCATTTAAATACGAAAGACATAAAAGTAATTTTTCTGCCTTCATTTTAAAAACAAGGATAAAACAGAGCAGCTTAAAATTTGAAAATATGAGAAAAACTCATAAGAAAAAAGTATTGCTACAATGTAAATTAAAATTATGTTTCAAAATGAGCTAGAAAAAAATTGTTAAGGAAGTGACTGCAGTTAAAAAATAAATCAAAAATAAAGAAACTCAGAAAAGAGGTGACTAGGAAGAAATGACATGGAAATAAGACGGAACTAAAAAGTAAAATAAAAAAGAAACCTGAATTATGAGGTGCACAAAGGATAACAGATATCTCAGAAAATAAAGTAAAAATTTAGAAGAGACATGACAAATGCAAAAAAAAAAAAGGAAACAGAAATTAAGAAATAAAAAAAATTTTGAGAAAAAATAATTAGTATATAAAAGTCAAAGAATATTCAACATATATATAATTGGTTCTCCAATGAAGAAAATCAAAACAATAAAACAGAAAAAAAAATTTAACTGAATCCAACAAAACTTTTCTGAAATCTATATATTGAAAACACATACTGTGTCCTTGAAAAATTTGACCCCTTAATGGCCAACACTATGGCACACTTTGGTAAGACTTTTTACTTTTAAAAAATATCCTTGGTTATCTTAACAAAAAGAACAAATTGCTTATAAGAGAATGAAAATCAGGTTTGCATCAGGCTTCTTGACACCAACCAGAAAATAGTGAAGCAACACTCACATGACACTCAAGGACAGACAAGTGAGTCAAGGAGACCTGCTGTCTTTAGGGTTAAAGGCTACAGGCAAATAGCTGTGAATACGCAAAAATTCAAAAAATACTGTTCTCATGAGCCCTGCCTTAGGACACTACTAGAGGACTAATTTCAGACAACTAAGAAATGACTGGGGGGGAAGGGAAACTTCAGCGAAAAGTCTGGTGATGAGAATTAAATACACTTACCTAGAAAGCTAAGACTAAAATAAGCAATAAGCATAACAAAGTAATATATAAATATTAAATCCTTTATCAGTGTAGGAACAATGAGATACAATAAAATGGAAGTACAGAGAGAGACAGTGGACAAGCCAGCTGACACAACAAGCTGATACAATAAGCTTGAGCATATTTAAAAACACAAGGATATATATATATTTTTAAAAGAGAGTACTACTAACTGAAACTGAATAATGCATGAGAGGGAGAAGGAGGAGGTTGCAAGATAATTTTACTGTTCACTGTCGAGAAACAAAAGAAATACGGAACTGAGGGTATTAAAGGCATTTTTATAAAGTAATCACTAAAGCAAAACTATAATCTTCCTAAACACCACAGAAACTGAAAAAAATAAGAAAACAAATCACAGAGTTAAATACTTTTAAAATACATATAAACATGTTTTATATTACATAAAATAACAGAACTGAAAGCAAACATATTGATCATGCCAAAATGTAAATGGGTTTAACTCATCTATTAAAAGAAAAATATTTTCAAGTTGACTCTCAAAGCAAAAGCTAACTCTGTGCAGTATAAAAGAGATACACCAAAAACAAAGGATTCTAAATGTTGAAAATAAATGGAAAGGCAAAGGAATACCAGGCAAAAGCAAATCAAAAGAAATCAGAGGTCACGATCTTCATTATCAGATAAAGTAGAATTTGTTCCAAACAGCATTAAAAAAAAAACAAAGAAGGGCATCTGTAATGCTGAAGGTTACAATTCACAATGCATATGTAACAGGTATGAATATCTATACATGAAATAATGTAGCAGCAATTTTCGTAAAGCAGACATTATAAGAGCTGTAAAGAGAAATATATAGGAATGCACTTAAAAACTGGATACTTGAATAAACTTTTCTTAGTTCAAGATAAACCAAGTGAAAAAATGTAAGGATATAGGCTAATTAAAAATATAATTAATAATGTAGGCTTCATAAATGCAGATTTAACTCTATATTCTGAAAGCGGAAACTCTTCTGTGGAAAGACCTTGATATGTTACAAAAAACATGTTGTCATATTAGATCACATTAAAACTCAATAAATCTCAGGATGTAGAAAACATAAAAGCCCTTCCATCTGATTAAATGTCCTATTAATTTATTCTCGAGTCAAAGGGGAAATACAAACTGCAGGTGCAAAATCTCGGGAAAACATTAATAATAATAACATTACAGAATGCATTTAACACTACTGAGCTGTACACTTAAAAATGGTTAAGATGGCACATTTTATGGTATGTGTATTTTACCTGAATTTAAAAAAAAATACAGACCAAAATACATGGGATACTATGAAAACAGTACTGGGGAAAAAGGTATAACCTTAATAACTTACCACAATATAAATGAAAGAGTAACAATAAATGAATTAAGCTTCCAACTCAAAAAGACAGACAAAGAATGAGATAAATTGAAGGAAAGCACAACAAAAAAATGACCATAGATGAAAGCAAAAATTAAAAAGTTAAGAGGCTGAATCATGTAAATGCATCACAATTCAAATAAAATAAATGGTAAAAATAGAAAATATCATCTAATAACCCAACACTTTTATTTCAGACATTATGAATTGAGGTCCAATGAGATTAAGGGATCACACAAAACCAAAAATAAAATCCAAATTTCCTTTGTCCCAGTGAAGTGCTCACGTGACTGAAATTTAGAAAAGGTGTGCTAAGATTGAGCTATATCATCACATGGTAAGGAAGGTCTTGAAGGACGACCAAGTCCAGGCTTGAAGCTGGTGACAGTGGATACAGCAAGACAAGTGCCCATACTTGGAGAAGTCCAAAGGAATGTACACTGGACAAGTGTTGAATGGTTCATGATAATGAGGAGAATAAATCCACAGAGGTGTAAACATTTAATGGATAATTATAAACATTCTTATGAAAGAGAACATTATTTAAAAACAAAAAAAAAGGAGAGCTAATGAGTTATTAGCCTGATATAAGGATTGCATTTTGAAACTATATATGACAAAGAAAGGATTTAATGTAGGAAAGAAAATGTTAAGAAAAACTCACATTACCTGGGAAAACTGCCTGTGGTGAAAATAGATATTTCCTGCATTAAAGTAAGCCAGCGAGTAGTTGGGCTTTAGAGAAATCGCTGCTTGATAGTCTTTCATTGCATTCTGTTGTTGACCCATAAACTCATGAATCACACCACGATTTGTTAAGAATTCTGCTGTAGTATTGATCTGCAATATAATAGTATGAGTACTTAGCATCTGGGAATAGTATTTATCTCCGATTTCATGTCTGCAGAAATGAACATTATGAAATCTACTTGTTGGAAATTAGTGATTTTATAGTGCAGGTAAAACCCCATTAGAGCAAGTATTTTGAGAATGGATTCAGTATGAAGTTGGTTCAATGTCAACACTTCGTTGATATGGTTGCAATAGAACAAATAATCTTAGTGCTTTACTCAGTTCCTTTCCAAGGAACAGACACCAGGGGAAAAATTTCATCTGTTCAGCTATGTTTAGCTGGAGAAATTAAATTGAATAGTTAACATGCCTTTTTGTCCTAAGTAGCAATTATCTTTCTGTTCTTTCCTTTTTTTCATCTCAAACATTACAACATTTAACCAAATCTATAGAAACAAAATCCAAAAGCTAGAAGAAGAGTTTCTGGCACTGAATTCAAAACATGAGATTTTTACTTGTTATTTCACTACAGGAAGAATCTGGGGATTTACATTGTTCTTTCTTTAATTCCTTCAAACCTAGAACATTACTTTTTGTTGTTCATCTATTTTGTAGTACAAAATAATACCGATATTCCATGAAACTAAAAATTGCATTTACTGAGAGGAATCAGAGTTTATCAGGGATTTTTAAAATACATTTAGGTTATAAAATTGGCAAACCATAATAATTCTTTACCCTAGGAATCACTTGGGCGAAAAAACCCAAAACATTATTTTCTCCACAAATCACTTTAAAAAGGTAACAGAACTTTTTACTTGGACCTATTCATTAACAACGTTAATTTATGCTAATAATAATGTAATCTAAGTGGATATTTTACCTTTAGGGCAGCATTGATATCCTGCATTGCAGCAAAATTATTACCCATCTGTAGACAGATCACAGCTCTTCCTTCATAGGCCAGGTAGCTCTTCGGATCAACTTCTATGGCAATGGTAAAGTGGTTCCAAGCTTTTTGGAATTTTCCTTGGGCCTAAAATAAGTTTCTGATTACATGAAGTATGAAATAGTCCATAACATGACAAATATTTATGATTCTAACTCAATCAAATAAAACCTTTAGTAAGGGTATATTTATATTGTGCTAAATCCAAGGTATTTTAAACAAGAAAGTAAGTCATACTCTGGGCACATTCAATCAACTAATTACCTCTGAGTATTTATGATGAAATTTCAATTTATCAAAATAAATTTAATTGCAGAGTCATCTCTTACACCAATCTTGGACAACATAAAATCATGGCCACCAGTGAAACACCAACACTTCTGAAAATTGCCAAAATATTTGCATTGAGCTCCACGCACACATGGGCAGGGATTGTATTTATTTGGTTGGCACTGAATCTCCAGTTACACACAATATGTACATAACACTCATAATAAAATAAATATGTGTTGAATAAATAAATCAGTAAACTAATGTCATAAAATATATTTTGATAACTTGTACCAACATCTGGAATTTTAGGATCACTGTACATATTCCACGGAAAATGCATGTAAATCCACTAAACATCTGTTTATACCAACCTTAGTGCCAACTAGAAAAGAAAGAAAAAAGCTCAGGGGAGGAGCACTGTTAATACAACAATGTCAGAGTATTCCCTAGAAAAGAGCAGCTGGCAACTGAATACCTCACTACAGGAAGGCAAAGAATTAATAACTCAGCACAGACCAGGGCCTGTCCTTTCCTCTCGTGAGCTGAAAAACCCAAACTTGCCAGGACCTCAGAAAGTAACCCCCTTTAACCAAGCTGAGCCCAGTGACTCTCACATGAAACTAAAAAGAAATATCACTATGAAAGGAACTAGAATCTGTCTTTTGACCAGCAAATCTTTGTCTGGGTAAACTACTTGGAAGTCCACATTGTCATCACAAGTTCTTTTAATAAACAAGAAATTAGGGAAATTGGGATTAGATTATTGGAATAGTAAACTGCAAAGAGCCCCACAACAGGATTATATCTGTCATCCGTTCCTGACGACATCTGTCGTGCTCACTTCTATATCCCCAGTGCTAGGCAAGTAGTAAGGCAATCTGTAAGTATTTGTTGAACAAACTCACTTTTTCCCCTCGATGGTACTTGAATGGGCCTAACTCTCCCTTTTCAGTCCTTTCTTTCCTGATTCAATCCCCTTCATACTGATGTACTTTTCAGTCCTTTTTCAGGTTTCTATATATTCAGTGGGATCTTCATAAAATGTAAATTTGATGTCACTTCTCCGATTAGTGCTATTCACATTTTAAACTGGACTACAAGGCCTTCAGCTCCAGCCCTTGTTTAACTGTCTAGCTTCATCTCACACCATTCCCCCCTTGCCCATAACATTCCATCCACTTGGGCCCTCTGTCTCTTTCTTACAAGACTTTCTAATGGGCTGTTCCCTCTGCCGGGAACGCTGCATCCCAGCCCCAAACATTACCCCTCACTAACTACTAGTCTTTCGCACCTCAACTTAAATGTTAATTTCTCAAACAGCCCTCTCTTACTTCTCAAACAAAGTTAGGTTCCTTGTTATAAGCTGTGCTAAAATACATCCTTTTCCTTTTTTGCACTTACTATGATTATAATAAAATATTTATTCATATGATTGTTTGATGCCTGTCTCTACACTAGGTAGTAAACTCTATGCAAAGAAACAAGTATATCTTGTTCATTACTGTATCCCTAGGCCTAGATTAATTCCTGTGCTATATTAGGGATGCAGTAAACACCTGTTGAATGCAATAAAAGATGATGCTAACACATTTCATTGGATTGCAGTAAGCTCTAGCTGCTTTGGAAGTAACCCCATCTCCTTGAATTGATTTTGTAAATTTCTATTGTGATCCAATTATGGTTAATTTTATGTTTAACTCTAAGGGGCAATCTTATTACCCTTATTAATAAGTTCTTGGGTAATACCTCACATTAACTACCAATCTTAGGTCAGTCGAACTCACTTATCTTTAAATGAAAAAACATCAAACTTAATGGCAGATTATTAACAGAAATTTCTGCAAATCACAATAATTTGAACACACTTTGTGCCCATTATTTAAAATTTTTAAATATTAAAAGGGATAAAAAGATTTAAGTGGGGCCGGCCCGGTGGCGCGCTGCTACAGTGCACGGCTTGAGAGCGCGGCGGCGCTCCCAACGAGGGTTCGGATCCCACATACAGACCGGTTCCTGCTCACTGGCTGAGCGAGGTGCGGGTGCGACACCTAGGGTTGCGATCCCGTTGCCGGTCCCGGTCCGGTACGGGCGCGACACTGAGGGTTGCGATCCATTGCCGGACACGAAAAAAGATAAAAAGGAAAAAAAAAAAAAGATTTAAGTTTACTCAATTCCTTTTCATAGAAATTATAGCACATTTAGCACTTTATTCCAAGAATGTCACTGTATCTTTTATTAGTGCAAATAGCTTGGTAAGTTATGAAATTTCAGCACATGGATTAGGCCAGAGTGTCCCAGAAATCACTCTGAGATCTGCTTGGCAACACACAGAGCAGCACCCTTTCATCTGACTGGAAAGACAAGTGCCTGGCTTCTTGTCTTCCCAGCAAGTTCTAATTCACTGCCATTTGGGAGATGACTGAATTCAGAAGTTCCTATACAGTGTCTGACCCATTGCATGACTGGAGTCCAATTCAAACCTTTCATACATTGTTTATTCCCTTTAACTTTTCACTAATTTAATAGGATAAAACCTATGGAGCCCAGGTATAAGCTAGTGAAACAAATATTAGCCAAGTTCTTACACGTGAAATTCATCAGGCAAACTAAAAGTTTTTTATAGGTGTGTGTGTGTGTGTGTGTGTGTGTGTGTGTGTGTCTGTTGGGGGGGGTGCTGAGGTGGGGAATGGTGCAGACATTAAGGAAACTTAGGTTCAAAAGATCCTCATCTGGCTAGCATTCCAGGTCCCCAGGCTCAGCCAGGCAGGCATCCTGTAACTAATTGAAACCCCACTCTCCACTGCTACTCGATACTGAAAGTAAGGGAAAGGAAAATGTTCATAACCAAGGAAATAACATTTATCCCCATCACCAGTAAGAAAGGGCCAAATACATCTTTTCGCCTATCCAAAAACTGCTTTTAATGCTCAATATGTTGTTATGTAATATTACCTGCAAATTATAGCCTAAACTAACTCTGGCTTTTGTACACATTGGATTAAAATGCAACGCTTTAGCAAAGTCCTTCTGTGCTTGCTTGGTGGCTTCATCGTGGCCATATTCCATGTAAGAATTTCCCCGTCCAACATAAGCATCCAGAAAACATGGGTTAATTTTAAGAGTCCAGGTAAAGAAGTTGACAGCTTCTTCAAACTCTTTAATTCTAGAAAATAAATGAAAATATTGATGCCTGCTGGTGAATTGATGCTTTCTGGAGATATATACAGTGTTTTCCTTTATATGACTTTTCCATAAAGATTTGCATTAACCCTTATAAAAAAAAATCTTTCATTTTTATTATCCATTTTAGAAAGTAAGTACATATTTCCTATGACCTAAAGAAGTCTGAAATAGTTCTTTGAAGATTTTGATAAAAGAAAAGAGGGGAAGTTAGAGCCCTTTTCATAGCAGAATGTGAAGGGCTGATATACTGGAATTCTTTTATCCAATTATAAAAATCTGAGTGGCATTCTTAAACCTGTTTTGAAAAGCTACCAATTATCAACTGAGAAAAACATGCTATTATTGATGAAATACACTATTGAAATTAGATTAAAAATAAATTTATTTATATGTATTTAGTATTTCCTTATACAGTGGAAGGAACCGAATTCTCATCACCTGGAAGTCCTTCAGATATGCTGCAAAGACAGCCCATTTCATTGTGAACACCAAGAAAGAAGGGAGAGAAAGAAGTAAATACATTTCACTTATTAACTTGTGAATGTATGTGGCTAAATGATAACTTTGTCTCTCTCCTCCCCAATTACCCTCTTGTGGTGGTGGTGAGGGCTGTTGAAGGAATCAAATATTTGTTCACGGGCATACAAAGTCACTTCTTTATTTCGCATGCTTATGCATTAATTATATTTAGTCTCAATTAACTCAGAGAGAGTCTAAGATTTAAAAAAAAAAAAGAAAAAAAGAGGAAGCTGACACTGAGTAACTGCTTACATACCAGGTATTGTGCTAAATGCTTTATATATGCTATTTCATTTTATCCTTCCAGCAATTCTGTAGGCTAGTTATAATTATCTACATTTATAGATGAAAAGAAAATCATGCTTCAGAAAAGTCTGCACATAGGAAAGAGATAGTAAATAGCATATTAAATTTGCACAGACTACATCTGAGATTCAAACTCAGGTGAGCCTTACTCCAAAATCCATGCTTCTCCGCACAGCCATTTCTACTGCACATTCTGCACCTATAATGTACCTGTGGTTGGTGCACAAGAGCCAATGAGCTGATATCTCAACAGTATAGTCAGAAGATAGGCTTGGAGTTCAGACCTGAGCCCAAACATCTAAGTTAATACTGACTCTTCCAGATTGTTATGAGGATCAAATAAGAGCATGTGAAGAACACCTTGCACAGAGACTCTTTCCTAATAAAGATTATTACCTTCCTTCCATTCTTTTGATTACTTCTCGAACAAGTTTCAAAATCTAAAAAGATGTATCACTACTTTGCCCATTTTTCCTTTATAAACTACAAGGAGCGAAGGATAACTGTTCTAGAAACTATCATCTCCTAGATACTACTCAAGAGTACCTCTTAAAATACTGTTTCCCAAACTTCATCCATTCCTTTGTGAAAGTTGCCCTGTGTTCCACTTCCACTACCATTTACTGAATATTTTCCTTTAAGTTAACTCACTTTTTTACTTAACTAAATTTATTTTAAAGGACAACTTAATTTCAATATCATAAATAGAAGAATGAGAATCTCATGCCATAAGTAGAAAGCAACCCTAAAAATAAATAAAATTGGAGCTGTATACTATAGTCTGCAGAAAACTGAACTCGAGGACTGCACCATCTATGACAGAGTTAGAAAGTTGTTAAAGACTAGCTCTTGGCTAAGACTTTCCCCTTGATGTGTTCAGAGGATTTGAGAAAGAATTCATTTTGAAACTGAAAAGCTATTCAGCTTCTCACAAAGTACTTCAGTGTTTTTTTAATGCTTGTTCATGAAAAAGAATTGGATTGCTCATGGCACTTACTCCATGTTTTAGCAAACGCTGCCCAAAAGCGGTGCATAAGGTGTTCTGCTAGAAGGTCACACAAGAATCAACAGTGAGGCACTAGGAAAGCCTGGCCTCTGACGTTACAGGAAGGAAAAGTTAACATTCATGTATATGAGCCAGTTGGTATCTTCTGAGTTCACTCTGTAGGCTGTTACTCAGAACACACAGGATCACTTCCCTCAAGTTGTTTACAATGAAATTGTGCTCCTCCTTCCTGATAATTGGCACTATTTAAGAATTAAAAGTTCACTGAATGTAGGTCACAGCTTTTACGGGTGACTTCTCATTGTATTAAAGCAATAATTCAAAATGTAGCATATCAAATTCTTTTTCAAGAATAATTAGACTATAGTCATTTTGTATAAAATGCATTTAGTTGATAGGTTTTGTTGTGCTCAGTATTTCTATCTATGAGTAGTGAAGGATTTACTGACAATGCATGTCTATGGTGATCATGTGAACTGAGATTTCCAGGGCAATCCCCATTCTCTCATATTTTCCCCATAAATCATTGAAATGCTCCTAGTATATTGATATCCAAATTGCATCATACACACTTATACATTCCCATTTATCCAGAGGGAAATTAAAAATCCTTTGGGGGAACATATTCTAATATGTTCTGATATATCTCCCTTTGTGTAACCTAACCAATTAAAAACAGACAAAAACAAGGCAGTCAATTGAAGCTCACCCCACATAGTATAATTTGTGAATTACCAAAAGGCAATGATTGAAGATATTTTTCTATACCTATCTAATTATCAGCACTAACATTTAATGAGCATCTAGTCTGTTCAAGCTAAGTAAATAATCATTAAGCCTTAAAGCTAGAAAGGGATCTTGAAAACCACCTAGCAAGCTCCTCAAAGCTGACAATAACTAAAATCAAGTCCATCCAAAAGAGGTGACAGTGCTAAAGACAGAGATTCTCCAGCCTACCACACCAATAGACAAGAAAAAAAGGAAGTAGAAACCACTGTAGAAACTGCAATTTCATTTTTCTAAAGTTGTGTCTATCACAGTGTCCTATAGGTTGAAGCTCTTGTTAAGTTACCAGATGGCAGTTAACTAATGGGAACATGTGGCAGAATATCTATGTTATATCAGGATACACGTTCAATGAGATGTATATGATTACACATCAGTTATCACAAATATAAAAGTATATTAAATGAATTTTACTAAAATCAAATGTTTGTATAAATCTAGAGAAATGTGATCACTTACGGAAGTTGGATGATTCTCATTATAGTGTGCTGCTAACAATGGATCGTGTGCTGAGCTTGCCTGCTAGGCCAGACACAAAGGCCCACTGCATTTTCCAAAGTAATCACATACGTGACCAGATGTGCCCTACTGAGTTGTACAAATAAATCACAAATACCTCCCAAAACTAAAGAACGTGGCTTGCAGAGTTAAAGATTCCAAAATATTTTATGTAAATAGAATAGTAAAATAAATGTGCCGCAGTAAAAAGTAGATAAGATACATAATTCTGAGTAATCTCCCTCTATGATATTATTTTTAAAAATATGAAGGTGGCTTTCTCAAAGACTTCTAAAAATTAGCTCTACCATAACACTCTTGGTGACTAAATTGGGCCACAAGTAGGATATTCAGCCTAAGGAATGTTGTCTCCTAGCAACCACAAGAGTGAGAACCGAGATATACAAAGGATACTTGAAAAGTCTGCAATCCCACAAGTTCAAAGATCAGAGCCCTAAAATTTAAAGATTTATTTCTTTTTTAAAAATTTTCCAAATGAGAAAATTTTTACTTCCCCCACTATAAGACACCCAAAGTAAATCCCCATAGTTACAAACATACTGCTATGGTATAAGTAAGTAATAGCTCACCTTGAAAAACAAAAATATTCTTCCTGAAATAAATATAACCAATTACCAAACATTCCTTATTGTCGAATTCAGTAAAACTGTTAAAAAACTCAAAACTGGTGGAATTGAGACTCTGAATTGTCAGGGCTTTACTGTTGATTTAAATTCTACTTTTATTAAAGGACAATAGAGATTCTAGTCGGGTGATGAAAGTTGGTTATTTGGAATTGCAAAGCAGTACCAGCTTAAGGAGGCTCTGCCCTATATACCCAGTGATTACATTTCATAAAAGAGATTGTGAACTGACACATGGAGAAATTTACTGACTCTAATAGTTGCTAAACATAGCAATGAGGTTGAGAGAAATTTTGGAGTCTGTTTTTAGTTTTAACAGAATGCAGTGACCTCAGACATTTTTGGTCTGCACCCACCCACCAAAACAAACACATCAGTCATCATTATTCCATCCCTTTTTAAGAATGACAATTACTTAAAGAGATGAATTGTACAAAGGTTGCTGGATCAAAATAGACAATGGTGTGACTCTGTTTTGCTGTCTGTTTAAAATGAAAGGTCTGAGACCAGTTTAGGCTTTTTAACCTAAAAGCATCTCTAGAAGTTCCAGTTATTATATCATTTTGTTCATAAAATTAAAAATCTAACTCTCTAGGAAAATGTAGCTGCATTATCTATTTTCTAAAAGGGGGGAAAAGAATGTCAATTTCCTAAATAATTCAAACTGTATTTTACTCTCTAAACTGGATATTTACACAGCATATTCTGAACAATTTATTAACTATCATAATTTCCTCCTCCGAATTAACTGCTATTGTTTCTCTTATGAAAAATAATGTTGTAAACTATAACTTAACCAAATACATTTAACTCCATATTAAAATCCTCATGTGCTAAATCTCTATTTTTAAAAGCAGAATGACCAAAAATTAATTTCCAGATGTCAAATGGGTATGTAGAAATGTAAACATTATGGCTAGCAAAGTCTATGTACTATATTGTAATATTATCTGAGTGCATTTTAAATTCATCATCTTCTGTATTTTAGCCTTATGTAACTATTCTCTTCTCTCCTTCTATAACTTATTTTTATAATAATCCCAGAAAGAGGTCATTATTTTTTAAGTATTGTATTTTTTGTAGAATTTATTGTATCTTGTAGATATTTGCTGGTATTGTTTTAATTAGTTTTAGATTTATGGTTTTAATTCAAAATTTTTTTGAGAATATATATTTTTTAAATAACCTTCTCTTCCAGGAAACGGGCTTTTTAAAAGTTAGTCCTATTTTATGAACAAAATAAATGACTTTATTTTAGGCTTAGATATTTCAAGCAATGAATAATTTTCTTCTATGTATTGCCAAGATCGTTTTCCAGTGTATGGGTTTAAAGTGAGATGGATGTCCCCAATGCCGTCATGCAAGGGATGCACTGCTATTGATACTTGCTATGTAGCTAAAATAGTTTATTGGAAGACAGAAGAGTGCTCATGACACACTTGGTGTGGTCCCCATGTCTTTACAAGGGACTCTTTGTGTCTCTCCTCATTTTTGTACTCTGTCACATCCACAACATTGTCCCCAACATCTTCTATTCCCTCCTGGCTTACTTATGAGGCTATAATTAGATAAGTTTGATGGTCCCACTTGCTTCCACTTGATATCAATTGCACTCCATACCTGTGGTGACACATGGCGGTCGCTTGACAAAGGCTCAGGTTAGTCTGGCTTATCAGGGCAGCTTCTTTAAAATCCTAAAAAAAAATTATAAGTTTTTGTTAATTTTGCAATATTATCTTATGTGCTTCTTAAACTTCCTTCCAACTTTCATCCCATCATGAATATTAATAAAAGCATTAAGATATACATCTTCCTAAAACTTTTTTTTTTTCCTGACGGGGTCACATCTAGTGAGAATGGATAGAGCAGAGAAAAAAAATTCCCATTACTGTGAATTCTCAGAATCTTGTGCTACCCACCTCCACTTCAAGAAGAGGGACTTTTACCTGCTATGTGTAATGAGATATCTCATTGACTTTATTTTTAATGTTTATTCCTAGTGAACACCACCAGAGACTTCCCTGTATAGACAGAAAAGGAAATTCACCTGGAGAGGACCTTTGGAGTTATATGACTACAGTACAAACAGGCACCCAGACCAGAGAAAGGGCATGACTGAGGCTTTTGTGTGTATTAGCTAAGGATGCTCCTACCTTTGGAATCCACACTTCTAGGAGAAGTGTGTCATTTTGACTGGGGATCCAAAATGCCTCCTGAAAGGGAGGAATGGAAACTCCACTCCAAGATTTGAAGTTAAGGAAGTCAGCTGAGATGTATCCAAATGGCCCTGGGGAAGAGGCTACTTAAAAGAATTAAGAGTGCTAAGTCTACAAGAGACCCTGCCACCCAGGCTCAGAACACTCTTCTCTTAGGCACCAGAGACACTGTCTGAAGCTCATAAGCTTTTCAAAGCCCTACAAAAATATTTGAGACCTGAAGCAAAATATGGACCTCACTAAACTTAAATTAATAAAATATTTAAATAAATACCTACAAATCAAAATATCATTTCAACTGCAATGCACTATATATATATATACACACACTCACACACACACACACACACAAGTATATATATACAATGTAGTTGATTTTAATGATTTCTACAATGAGGGAAGGGGCCTTCTGAAAGTAAGGATACAGAAACTATGAAGGAATAAAAATGGCCTGCTTTTTCCCAGAGGATTGTTTTAGCAGGAATCTTAATGGGCAGTTTTGGTTGTGACCTCACTTGACCAAGCTAAATAGTGGGGAGTACTATAACCTCCCCCAGGTGGTAAAAAGAAATCCCTCCAGACTCTTTCCTAGAGGCACCAGCGCTCTACAGCCCCAAAGGGGACTACTCCCCTAGAGAGAGAGGAGCAAACCATAACCAACAGTTTCCCTCTCCCATCCTCTCGTTTCTCCTTCCTCAAACCCTGCCTGGTTCTATCAGAGGGAAGAGGTTGGCTCTGAGGGGGTAGGATGAGTTTTCTGCTATTTACTAGAGGTGGAAGAAGGAGTAGTAGGGTCAAGCTGAGCACTCTGGGATCCTACTGCAGGAGGAGGTATTAGTCACAGGTCAGTCTGTAAATGTGGACTCTCCACTTAGATTCATGAAGCATATTATTATTATGAAAATCATTCATGAATAATAATTCTTATTATTTTGATACAAAGTGGAACTATTTGGAAGGAAATAAGAACTTTATTGTGTAATCAAACATAATCTAATCAAACATGCTGCCAGGTACCTCTCTAGGAGGACTTTTTGCTAAAATGGAGGCAAACTTATAAGTATCAGTGAGATTTATTACAAACATTCCCATTAGTTTTGGAATTTTCAGGGAATGACCATGAAACTTAGAAAGCTGAGAATACCAAATTTAGTTTTGTAATCAGATGAAACTTATAAAAGTCACCCTGATTCTCTCTATATAATCATTATCATGCTACCTGGTAATTAGGCATTAACTATCAGCAATAGGCATAAATGATGACTAGTAGCTTTACTTAGAATAAGCTAGCCACTGTTTTTATGATTTTTCTTTTCTGCATTCTCTCTAATGTAAGGATAAATAACAAATCACACAAAGTCACTCGTGTGCAATGCAAATCCCTCCATGCTCATTCCCTCTGACCTTCACCCACACTGTCTTCCTCCCCGTGTCAGAGGGCGGCTCTTGAACTCATTCCTTCTGATCGCCTCTGGAAACTTGCTCCATTATAGTCCTGCTGTCTTCTCCATCTTTAGTCCTTGTCTCACTGACCCAACCTAACATGCCTTCCCTTAACACCCCCTCTATCCGGAAAACTTCACATGTCCATGTCTTCCTAGTTCCTGTCACTGTCATCCTCCTTGAAAGCACAGTCAACACTCGCTGTCTCCCATCCCCAAATTCTATCAACTTATTACTCTTGCTGTTTAATATCAGTTTTATCTTGTGATTTGCAAACTGCCTCTAAAGACATTTTTATTTATTTATTTTTATTTTTATCAAAGTATATGGGATGTAATAAAACTACAAAACTGACAAAGCTCAATAGTGATCTCCTGTTCACTTCTTCTTACCCCTGAATCCCACTCCCCAAAGGCTATTATTTTTACATTTTACTGTTATTTCTCTGCTATTTATCTTCACATTTCTAAATAATGTGAGTATTGTTTAGTATGTGACTTTATGGCACAACTATTCACTTCCTACATAGAAGAGAATTTAGCTGTCTTACACCACCACTCCACAACCTCGCCTTCTCCTATCATCCCTGTATACTGATGACAATTGGCCTGTTTGTTTTAGTCTCCATTTTACTTCTCTTAGGGGTCTGATCCTTGGCTATCCATTTGCATTTGTATGAAGCATTAAAATCCCAAATGGTAGTTTTAGGTGGCTGAACATCTCTTCTCCACTACCTTTAACCTCGTGGAATTTCACATTTTTTATTCCTCTACTATCATCATGGTAGGTTTTCCAATGTTCTCAATTCAACAAACTTAACCATTAACTTTTCAAACAATCGCAGTCTAAATGCCTCCTGATCAAGGTTCTCCTACGAAGAGCACACAACTAGCAATTAACCAACATGTGTTCAGCACTCATGCTACTTGACCTCTCAGTTAATCCTTCCCACAAAAAATGTTTTTCCTAGATAGGCTTTAAGACTCTGCTTTCTCTTGGTTCATCATCTCACCTGCTTACTACTCAGTTTCATATCCTTCATTATTTCTTCCTCTGCCTGCATCTTTTCTGTATTTAATTTTTTAATTAACTTTTTTACTTCACATAGAGAAAAATTCACTTTTTTACTTTTAATTTGTGTTCGTGTGGTATATCTTTTTCCAGACTTTTATTTTTACCTATCTATATCATTATGTTTTTTCTTTTTTTTTTTTTTTTTGTCCTTTTTGAGACCGGCCGCACCGCACTCAGCCAGTGAGCGCACCGGCCATCCCTATATAGGATCCGAACCCGCGGTGGGAGCGCTGCTGCGCTCCCAGGGTCGCACTCTCCCGAGTGCGCCACGGGCTCGGCCCTATATTTTTTCTTATAGGCAGAATATAGTTGGAGCTTCCTAAAAATTTTCAATATGATATTTTTATGATTTTAATTGGTATATTTTGATCATTTCCATTTAATAAGATCATTTCCATCTACTGATAAGGTTGGATTTAGTTCTACTATGTTATTATTTGTTTTCTGTTGTTCTCCTCTGTTTCTGTTCCTCTATTTCCCCTTCCTGGACTTACTTTGTACTCTCTTAATACTTTTTAATATTCAATTTTAATTTATATCTAATTTCCTTTTAACTGAGGAGGTCACATATAAGCAGAAGCCTAAAGGAAAGGAGGTCACAAACCATACCAGGTCAGTAGGAAGAGTGCTGTGTGCATGGGAAACAGCTTGTGTAAAGGCACTGAGGCAAAAGGGAGCCTGCATTTCCAAGGAATAGCAAAAGGCCAGAGTGGAGTGTCTAGAGTGAAGAACAGAAGAGTGACAATGAGGTCAGTTCAGCAGGGTTTTGGCCGGTCATAGTTAAGAGTTCAGATTATATATATATATATATATATATAAAGATGACTGGCTATGTATAAAGATCTTTATATATATATATATATATATATATATAAAGATCTTTATATATATATATAAAGATGACTGGCAAAGGGATCTTAACCCTTGACTTGGTGTTGTCAGCACCACGCTCTCCCAAGTGAGCCACGGGCCGGCCCAAGAGTTCAGATTTTATTCTATGTGTGATGAGAAACTATTGAAGGGTTTCAAGCAGAGGAACAATTTGATCTTCATACTCTTAAGAGGTCTGTCTGGCCACTGTGTGCAGAACAGCACGTAGAGAGGCAAGGGCAGAAGCAGAAAGGCAGCTGGGAAGCCACTGCAGCAGCAGTCCAGGAAGGAGATAATTCAGTTCCAAGACCTGAGTTCAAATCTTGCCCAGTACTTACTGGCTGAAAGCAGGATGGCAGTGGCAATGACAGGAAATGATTTAATTCAAAATATGCTTTAGTGGTAGAACTGACTGGACTTGCTAATGGGTTAGATGTGGGTGTGAGGAAAGAGAGGGGTCAAGAATGATTCTCAATAAACCATCAAGGACTGGAACTCTGACTTATGTCCATGTCTTCAATGTCAGTGCCTCGTCTGAAAGAACATAGAATTTGGAACCAAATGAGACCTGAGTTCAGATCTTGCCCCAGTACCCACTGGTTGGAAAACCTTATTTAACCTCTTTTGAATACCAGTTTCCTCATCTGTAAGTTATAATTATAAATTGTGCAGCATTGTTGAAAAGATGCAGTAAATAGAGTTAATGTAGTTGTTTAGTACTAAATGAATATTTACTCAGTGGATAACACAGGCCCTGCATTGAATTCTTCAACAGCCGTGGTCCTTTGCTCCCCACCTCTGTTTTTCTCTTTCTCCACACAACATTGTTGCCCAGATTTTCTATAGCTTTCTTGTCTAAGAGGTTTTTTAGCTCCCTCTATCTGAGGTGATTCCTAATGGTTTTTATCTCAAAGATATTTCCAATATATCAAAAAGCCTAAAGGAACTCAGGCTTTTTTTAAATGTTGAGATTACATCTCATCATACTGTAAACTGTCTAGAAAGTAAGTAATTCTGTTGGGCAGAATCTCAAAAGACGACTGCAGAAAGTAGAAAAATAATATAAGCCATTTTGGGAAGATGAAAAGAATAGGAAACACTCCACTGCAGACTGTCACGTTGCAGTTGTTTAGAAACAAAAAAACAAAACTGCTATTACTTAATTGCAAACCTCAAATTGCTATCTAACTTTTGCCTTGTGTTTCTTAATCTTAATTCCAAAGTTACCATAAAATAGACAATAAAAATTAAAAAGTTAAAAATGAATGATAAATTTTCATTATTCTATAATGAAATACATTTTAAACTGTATTTCAATATACTGTGTATGCTTTCTTCTATTACAATTCTGAATGCCTCTTCCCACTAACTGTTCCCAGTAGCCCATTCTGAGCAACTATTTCCTGGCCTGTTTGAAAGAAACACTTTTATTTGCCAAATAATTGAGTTTTGTGTGTACTCCCTTGGGGAAGGTGAAAGTCTTGATCAAATCAGAAATTTTTTATGTATTGGCTATTATGTATCATCAAAATGAAGTAAAAATACAACATTTTTTGCAAACATTCTATCAGTCATTCCAAGTATTTCAATAAATTCTTGCTAAAGTTGAATTATCACTCATTAATACTGCCATTTGATGCAACAGAAACTTGTCCACTAGTTTTCAAAAGTAAATGTGTAAAATTGAGTGGGTTCATTTTTACACATCAGGACGTGTAAAGTGCTTACCTCTAATGCAAAGCCGTACTGCTCTAGTTCTACGTAGATGAGTCCACGATTAATAAAGGTATTTAATGTTACAGTTTCTCCAGCATCATGAAGAAGCACAATTCCATAATCTGTTAATGCCTATAAATAAAATAATCACTTACAACCTATATTCAGCTCTTTAGAGCCTTACTTCATTAGCCATGGACAAATTTGTTTATGCCCAGACTAGGACCTCATAGTTAATTCTGTCATTTGACTTATAATTTATGACCCAAATAATTAGATGTTACATTTAAAGGGTCCCCTTAGCTAAATATTATGAATGTTGCTATTTTTTAATAAGTGGTGCCCACAGTGATGGCATTTCACATGCTATTGATGAGTCGCCACATGCATTTTCATTTGCGTATGGGTTGAAAGGCAGAGATTCAACACCCTTCCCCCACCCAGTAGTTTCACCAAATGACTGTTGACACTAAAGAAGAGCACTGATGATTACTGTTTAAAATTTAATTTCTTTTTAATGTTTTATTGTTTTCTTTACTAAAATTTAAGCTCAATGGGGGTAGAGCTTTTCCATTTTGTTCACCATTGTGAGCCCAGTAAGCAGCATCATGGCTGCACACACTAGTCATTCAACAAATTTTTATCAAATGAATAAATCATGAATCAATAAAAATGGAGTTTTATCTTAATAAAACTTACAAATAAGCACTTACAGGAAAATTACTTCAAGATATTTTGATAATGTAGGGCCGACCCGGTGGCGCACTGGAGAGTGCGCCGCTTGGGAGCGCAGAGGCACTCCCGCCGAGGGTTCGGATCCCATGTGGAGACCGGTTCCCGCTCACTGGCTGAGCGTGGTTCGGGCGCAACACCGAGTGTTGCGATCCCGTTGCCGGTCCCTGGTACGGGCACGACACCGAGGGTTGCGATCCCATTACCAGTCAGTAAAAAAAACAAAAAGGAAAAAAAAAAAAGATATTTTGATATGTATACAATACTCACTGGTTTTTTAAAGACAGCAGTCTTAAGCTGAGAATTAATTTGCTCAAAAGACATTACTTTTACCTTTTTAAAAATTTCATTCACTGAATAAACAAGGTTTCACTGGTCAATACATTGCACCAAGTACTAGAAACATCCTAAATTTGGGCTGGAGCTGAATCTCTTAAATCATTTTTCTACTGAACATTTTGTCCAAAAGAGCCATATGGTTTGATCAGAAAAGGGCCAAATCTTACATGCGTGAAGCACCTTCTAGCTGAAAATGGCAAATAAATAATATTTTATTTTTTGCTCCTTTGCCTTCCTTTAGTGTTTCCTCAATGGGAAGTCAATTGTCTAAAAAAATTGTGCAATTAAAGATTCTATATGTATACTGTGTGATGGAGTTTGGATGTGTTGTCCCCTCCAAAACTCATGTGGAAATTTGATCCCCAATGTGGCAGTGTTGGAAACTGATTGAGTCATGGGGGTGGATCCCTCATGAATGGATTAATGAGTGAGTTCTCGCTCTATTAGTTCCCGCGAGAGCTCATTGCTTAAAAAGACCCTGGCACCTTCTCTGTCTCTCTTGCTTCCTCTCTCACCATGTGATCTGCTTGTACCTGCTGGCAGCCTGCTGCTTTTCTGCCATGAGTAGAAGCAGCCTGAGGCCCATGCCAGATGCAGCTGTCCCAGAATCGTAAGCCAAATAAATCTCTCTTCTTTATAAATTACCCAGTCTTAAGTATTTCTGTTATAGCAACACTAAACGGACTAAAACACTGTGGCATAATTATGAATAACATTGCCAGGGCTGTAAAAATAATTAGTAATACTTTTGTAAAAAAAAAGAAAAAAGAAAAGAAAAGAAACTTAGAATGTTAGCCACAAATTGCCTATTACCTAACTTTTTCTTTCACAGAATCAGAGTGTAAAACCTATAAGATACTTTTAGAGACCCTCTAAGCAGCTGAATAAGACACAAAGAAGCAAAGGGTGGTGGGTGAGGATTGATGTTTTGATTAAGAGGAGAGGTGAGGACCTTGGTCTGTCCTGAGTTTGTGTCATGCCTCTGCTGTTATTGCTAGTTTCTCAGTTTGGGGTAACTAAACACTAGGTGTTAATTTCCTCATCTGCAAAGTTGGGGTGTTAAAAATTCACCATATTGTTGGGCCGGCCCGGTGGCGCACTGGAGAGTGCGCCGCTTGGGAGCGTGGCGGCGCTCCCGCCGAGGGTTCGGATCCCATGTGGAGACCGGTTCCCGCTCACTGGCTGAGCGCGGTGCAGGCGCAACACCGAGGGTTGTGATCCCCTTACCAGTCAGTAAAAAAGACAAAAAGGGAAAAAAAAAATTCACCATATTGTTGTAAAAGTTCACTTAAAAATATTTTGATTGTATGCTGGTAGAGCATTTAGCCCAGTGCCTGTCATAAAAAAGTTCTAAACAAGTGGTAACTGTTACTATTTTTATTAACATAGAGTGATAGAACCAGAATTCACCTTTGCTTAGTTTTTATGAAACCACATCCTGGGAGAATGCCTAAGTGCATTTTCTGCAGAAAGACACATGGTTTTTCCTCAGCCTAGTGATGGCAGGAATGCTGAGAAACAGGTGGAAGTAGACAAAAGGGAGGAGGTGACATTGTTAAATGACATCCAGTCCACATGTTGGGGGTCAGATGGTTTTACAAAGCCACCAAAGACTGTTAACGCAGAAGCAAACAAATCTGTGCACACCAATACAGGTCTCTAACTCCTTGTGTGACTAGCATGAGTTTTCTAACCTTTTCCTATTTCCATTTCCTCATCTGCAAAATGCGTGGATTAGATGAAATGTTTTGGGATCCTGGCAGCTCTAAAATGACCAAAATTTTATTATTCTAATTGGGTCTCACTTTATTTTAGTAGTTTTATTTATTAACAGGGCATGGGCTCTTTTAAATATCTGAAATAACAAAAAACTGGGAGTTCCCTCCCCATCCAGCTCATTGTTTTCTTCTTCAGGGTTACCCTTCTGGCAGGAATGGGGGTGGGGAGGGAGTCATCAAAGATACCTGCTGTGCAGGTCACTCTGATAAATGACCCCTTAATTAGCTCCTAGAATCTTAACAACTCCCTTGTGAAAAATTAGTTATTCATTTGTCAACATTTCTGAAGGAAATCTGATAGTCTGGTTACCAGGAATGTTGCCATTCTCTTAGCTAGGAACAATGTTTCTCTCTTCTTCTCTTACAAATCTTGTAAATTTCTAAATGTTTTAAACAGATTTAACTGTCTGAGATTCACAGAGATTGGGATGTGCGGACACGCTGCCAATCAGAATGTGCTGTAGTCTTTTAAAGGAATGCTTTATTTACTGTGGAAGTGGGCAGAAACAAGGAGAGGGAGACAAGTGGATAACAGAGAGGATGCGGCAAACACCACAAGAGCACAGGCCAGCTGCTCCCCAGTGCAGAATCCTCATTAGGAAAAAACCAAACTCACAAGGGGAGAGAAGAGAGAAGGGACAAGATAAGAAAATACAAATGAGAGTTTGCACAGGCGAACGTTGGATCAGGACAAATGAAAAAGGTTTGCAGCAGCCATAGTTAGGCCTTCAAAATACACAGGCAAGTCCTGGCCACTGGTCCCCTGAGCTTGAAACCATTACTCCAAACTTCTTGCTGCATGTGTGGTCTGAGGACTACCTAAAAATATCTCCACAAACTGCTCCAGCTAATGTTGAAATTTTGAAGCAACAATATTGCTAGTGATCACAGCTTTAAAATTCTTCATGCATGGAACACTTACTTGAGTAAATGATAACTAATTATGTAATGTATTTTAATTTATACATGCCCTTAAAATGCTTCTATGAGCATTAAAACATTGATTTTTCATTTGACTTATTGCAGAAATTGTATAGGAAAATTTGGTGAGCACTAACAAAGAAATTAAATACTCTTTGAACTGGTTCTTTGCTTTTTCAAGTTTGTGTGTGTATCTGCATAAGAATTACTTTTTAAGATTACAGCAGAAATAAGAAAATACTTTATGAATACTTTAAACATGATTACAAAAGCTTTTAATGTGTCGTTTATTAAATGTTGTTTATTGATTGCTTGTTGAATTCAACAAGCTATTAAGTGCATGTTGTTAATTAATGCTTTAAATGTGCTATTTACTAAAATGATCATCTTACCATTTGAAGTTCCCTTATTTTGGTGTAACATAATGCTCTGTTATAAAACGCTATATAACTCTTTCTGTCCATGTTGATAGCTGTAGTTAAATCTCTAATTGCTAGCTTATAAATCTACAAAGAAAAAAAATAATTAGGTGAGAAGGGATGGACTGGACTGGGCATAATGGACCAAAATTCAATTGTAAAATAAATTCTTGATTCTATCAGAGTTTTGGAACATTCGTTTAACCATTCTGTGTATCATCTGTGAAATTAAGACATTCAAACTAATCTTTCACAGAGTTAAGAAGATAACAACAGCTTTAATAATTTAGATAATTATTTTATTACCAATGTTACCAATAATTATTTTATTCCTATGGCAAGGAGAAAATTATACTTAGTAAAAGAGAAGCAACCCATATTCATCCAGCAAATATTCACCAGAGCTTGCTTGCTCTGTCACTCATGCTGTCATATCACATAATCGTCATGTTTTCTATCCACGTTCCCTTTTGCTTCCTCTTTGATTCTTCTCTGGTACCTTATATCATCCATTTCTATAGATAGTAATTTTCATGGAATTAACACATAATGCAAGGTCTTACCTTTGCTTTAAGGTATTATTTGCAAAATATTTCATATGAAATAGCTACAAAAGAAAGAAAAGTAGGGAGAAACAAAGTATTCTGTGCAGTATGAGATGTATTAATGGTGCTGCTCACACCCTTTAACCCAGTAATTCGTTTAAGAACCAGTCATAAACTCAAGCAACAATTTTGTTCCCAGTTGTGTATAACTGTATTACTCAATATACTAAAATAGTAAAAAAATTAAAACAGCCCAAATATTCAACAATACTGGGGTTAAAAATACGTTATGGTAAAATATTATATAGTCAGAGAAAATATCTTCAAAGATTAAGCGTAAAAAGCAGGGCACAATACAAATTATGTAAGTAGCATAATCCCAATTATGGAAAAGATATATCATATATCATCAGGAAAATAAAAGACTAAATGCAAATACACCAAAATGCTCTCAGGAATTATCATTTGATGGTGGGATAATAATTCTTTATTTCCTTCTGTATTTTCCAAATTGTCTACAATGAATATATACTATTTTCTTAATAAAAATAAACCATAAATATTACTTAAAATGTAAATGTCAAAGATAAATATCACTATTTGTGAAAAATTATTCATTGAAATCTCTTTTGGTGCACCGGGAGAGCGTAAAGTGTTCTTTGTAGTTCCCTTAGCACCACAGTGATTCTCCTACCACAAAGAAAATAAGGAAGTGAGTCCCCACTTGGCATCCAGAGTCTGCCCACTCTAAAACATCAGTTAGCCAGGCTGGAGGAAGTGGCCTTACCTTGCTGCAATATTTCAGAACTCCTCTGTAGAGATAGGCACGCACACCCTCAGGATAAATTTTGATGGCCTCGTTACAATTCAAGATTGCTTTGGAATATCTACCTTTTAAACCATAGTAGGCTACTCGGCTTAAATATGCCTGTTCAGGGAAAGAGAGAAGGAAAGCAGGAACGGATGCTTGAGTAAAAGCACCAATTCTACCAAAATATACAGTACTTTGAACAAATCTCTGTCTCACAAAGATGGTGTTAAAATAGTCTTTTCTCCATTCTTTTTTTTTCAAATAAAGAAAAAAATTCAAAATACAGAATAGCTGAAAGAACAGCACAATGAATAGCCATATACCTGCCACCTGGATTTAATAATTATTCACATTTTGCCATATTTGTTTTATCTATTTTTTTTAACTATTTGTAAGCAAGTTGTAGACATCATAATACTTCACCTAAGTCGTTCACTGTGCATCTCCTATGGAAAAAAGACATTCTCCTACATAACCACACTACCATTGTATATCTAAGAAAAGTAATAGTAATTCCCTAAAATCATATAATATTTTGTCCATATTCAAATTTCACAGACTTTTAAATTTAGGATCCAATCAAGCTTGACCTGTTGAATTTTGTATTGTCTTTATAATTTATTAAAATACAGGAATCAATGTGATAGCAAAACAAGAAATAAATAAAATTAATTACAGAGTATATACAATTAAAATTATTAATAGGTACATTAATATATTAACAATATTTACATATATCACAATTCACAAATACATACATAAGTAATATCCCTGATGGAAATAATACTTTTAGTTCAAAGGGAAATACAGATATCTGGATTGTCAAAATACAGTTAGTTGAAAAGTATGTATAAATAATTGATTATTGCTAATTAATCATAATGGCATATAAAGGATTTAAGTTTTACCAAAATTAACACACCCTCCATAACAGTGAAATCATTTATTTAATACCTGGTAATGTTTTGGATCAAGATTAATTGCATGATTAAAATCCAGGATCGAGTTATCTTTGTTGAGTTTTACTTTACAAAGCCCTCGTTGATAAAAGCCATCGGCAAAATTAGGATTTGCTTTCACTGCTTTTGTAAAAGAATCAAAAGCCTAGAAGAGCATATTGTTAAAATGCAAGCCATTTAGGAAAAAACAAATTTTAAATGTTAATAAATTACAGAATATAACAATCACTGAAAAGTTTTGCTTTATTTTTTAGCATTTTAAACACATTTCTCCCAATGAACCTTGTGGAGCAAACAAAAGTAATATTTAGAAACAGGTCAGGTTTATTATTATAGATAAAGGCCTTATTCCCAGATTAATGTCTACATAATTCATGTTGTTAGATTATATTTTGGAGGGTATAATTTTAATCATTATTCTTTTGATTTCATTCATTTCTTCAAAGAAAAACAACCAGCATATTCATTTTCCATGAAGGCCCAACAAACATAGCAGACACATAGTTATAAAATTTCAGAACAATAGAACTCTAAAATTTTTATCAATATTGCAAAGCAGAGTTTGCTCTGGCTGTCCAAAAGGACTAAATATATGTAAAAGAGTCTCAATTCATATTATATTTACTGGCATTTCTTAATCGAACAACTAATCAAGTCCAGCTCTATGTTATGAAAATATAAGTTTAAGACACTGTCCACCCCATGAATATAAGGATTAGAATAATATGTGTGTGTTAGAGTGTGAGAGTGTGTGTGTGTGTGTGTGTGTGTGTGTGTGTGTGTGTGTGTGTGTGTGTGTGTAGTGGAGAGTTGGAGTTGTGGAATATCCAACGTTAACCACTGGATAATCAATTATCTTATATATTTATTCTGTCAGTGACAACTTTGAAGTGGAGAACCATATAAAATAACCAAAGACTGGATAAATACATAGTAATTGAATCAACTGGTTTTCAGTGAATCTGGTCATCTTAACAACCAGTTTCAATCTGATTTGAAATGTTCAATCACCAGTAAGAGAAGCCAAAGAGTTGCCTAATCATTTTCCATTTATTTCACACTACATTGAAGCACTTAATTTGAAGTACTTACAATTTAATAAGAAAATTCATATTAATGCTATAAAATTATTTTACTATAGTAATTTCTACACTTAGACTTATTGGTTTGGTGGGAAACACTTCGGTTTTCAGAATATTGTTGATAAACAATCATCAAATGTGTTGAATAAATAAATGTTTTGCAGGGTACAGTCTGACTATAATAAGCCAAGCTTTATAAGAAGCTTTGAACTAGTCACTCATTGTATAGGTAGCCTTCAAAATAGAACTAAATGTGAGCAATCAGTTTCTAAAACTACAGCCTATGCAGTCAAATACACAAAATACCATTTGTAAGTTGCCTTCCTCCATGTAACAAAGACCCAAGTTATACAGACAGTCGGCTGAAGCATCTGTGGCATTTGGTTCTTTATCGGAATGAGAAAAGACATCCAATGCCTTCTTCAACATTCTCACAGCTTCCTATAATGATTTCAAAAAAAAGGAGGGGAGAATGTTTCTTTCCAATATTTATTTAACATTACAGCCTTACACGTTAAAAGAAACCCAGAGCACACAGCTTTACTGTCATTTCACCAGGGGACTCACAGACCTGGTACAGTCACAGATCTCGTCAGTACACCACGGGAAGAGAACCTAGTTCAGGAATCTGATCTCACCAAGTCCCACCCAGGCACCTGTCATACAAGCCAGTGTTTAAGCAGGCTTATATACATGGATTTTTGGAACTATAATTTCTACACTTGATCTTAGCCAAAAGGCCAGGAAGCGATGGAACTATGATTTCTAAATGCTAAAGGCTATTTTCTTGTAGTCTTAAGTCAGACATATTTATGGACTAATTTATTTATTATCAATTTCCTAGAAATTTTCCTGAATAGAATATTGGGAAGCTACTAGGTAGCAAAAGGTCTCCACTCCAGAGGAGATAGCTGATACAGTCTTAATCAATCTTTACTTTGCACTGCTGTGCTCCTAATGAGATTCCACTGGCACCAGAAAATAAACTGCCATCAAAAATCACCCATTTATTTAGTCAAAATAATTGAAACTCATTAATGAAAAAAATTCAATTTTCCAGATAGAAATACCATTTAATAATTAACTAATCTACATATAAATATAAATACTTGTTATTCATTTTCCCTTTTTCTAAATTGTATTAATTACTAAAGAAACAATGAGATTTAACTTGGTTATGCCATGTCCTTTAATGCTAGCCTTTAGCATTTACTCCGAGCATGTTTCCAACATCTGTCCTTTGGTCCTCACTCTCAGCACATGACCTTGCCATAGAAAAATTTCCCTCTTTTTCACTTTCCAGTGTGTCTATATGTTCATGCATTTTCACCTTTTTTCTCTCCTTCTTTGAATGGCTTCCTTTCTTCTCCTTTGCAGAGCTAGCTCCTCAAGCTGTGTCCCTGACCCCATGTCCTTCTCCCCGACCTGAGCATAATCTGCTACTTCCTTCCTCTTTTGGATCTCTGCATCTTCACTGTCTCCTGATTCCATAAAGACTTGAGTCTACTCAAGCCTCCCATCTCATTTAAATTAATATGAACACACCCTCACTTTCTCCTCCTTCCCCCATGACTCTCTCCTTCACTACTTTCACCTCAGGGAGATCTGGAGGGGCTTGCAGATAAGACATGTTTATATTTTGAAAACAGTGCTGGGGCTCCTGTGTGGATAAAAGCTTGCTGCTGTAAATCAAGGAAGAAAAAGAAAAGATTCTGAGCTGGGATAATGACCATAGAAACAGAGAAAGGAAGTGGATTTGAGAGATACTTAGAAAGTCGAACCAAGAGACCACTACTACCAACAGGGAGCAGGAGTGAGGGGAGGTTACAGCAAGAATAAAGGAGTATTCCTAAAAGGATGGAGAGGTCAACAACTTCAAAGGTGGATGAAAAGTAGGCAATGATATATACTGAGAGATAACCTCTGAATATGCAATAAGGAAGTCATTGATGAAAATAGAGCACTTCATTCAAACCAGGGGTATATTCATTTTCTATTGTTGCAAATCAAATAACCATAGATTTAGCATTAAAGTAGTACACATTTCTTCTCTGACAGTTTCCATAGGTCAGAAGATTGGGCATGGCTTAGCTGGGTTCTCTGCTCTGGGTCCCATAAAGCCGCAATCCAGGTGTCAGTTGAGCTGTGTCCTCCTCTGGAAACTCGACAGGTGAATCAGCTTCCAAGTTCATTCATGCTGTTGGCAGAATTCACTTCCTTGAGACTCGAAGATGAACAGCCCCAGCTTTTTGCTGGCTGTTGGCTGCCCTCAGGTCCTAGAGGCTGCCTACAGTTCATCACAGAACCCTCTGCATAGCAGTTTGCTTCTTCCAGGCATGTGGGAGAATCTCTCTCTCCAGTCTGCTAAGGAGTCTTATATAATGCAACACATAAGCAAGAGAGTGACATCCCATCAACTTCACCATATTCTACTGATAAGAAGAAAGTCACATGTCATGCCCACACTGAAGGAAGGGGAGGAGATAATACAGGTATGATTCACTGAGAGTAACTTTAAGGTATGTCTGCCAGTATGGTCCCCCCATGATTCAATATCCTTGCCACATGCAAAATACAATCTTTCATTCCAAGGTTCCTGAAAATCTCATCTCATTACTGCATCAGCTCAAAGTCCAAAATCTCATCATTTAAATCAGGTCCAAGTATGGATAAGGCATTTGAGTATAATCCACTAAGAACCACCTTTCAGGCACAATTTCTATCCATCTGTGGACTTGTGAAATTAAAGAGACAAGTTATCTGTCCCCCAAACAACCAACATACAAGGGTGAGACAAGTACAGGATAATATCCACAGACATTCCAGTTTAAAGAGGGGAGGATGGAAGATAAAAAGGAGTCGCTGGTCCATGGCAGTTTTGAAATCCATTTGGGCAAATATCCAGAGTCTCTTGATTAGGTTTCAAGGCATAAGAGTAATTCTCTATGGCTCTTAGTCCTGTCCTGCGGGTTCTTGGTCTTGCCCTCTGGATTATCCTTCCTTTCTTACTAAAGGTTGCACATTCACAGCTGAGTTGTTTTATTAATCTGCTTCCTGCCTGCCTAATTTTGAGGTCTCACAGTTTCCTTTCACTTTGTACTTGCTTTGTCTTTTTTATTCCAACTTGGCAGTGTTTGTAAAGAAATAATTTTCTCAAAAATTTTGGGGACCTTCTATGAATTTCACAAGATTCATTCCATTAGACAAAACCCATATCAGCTAATTTTTTCAAAAAAATTCTTTCTCCTCTTTGGCCTCATGCCTGAGAGACAATGACCTTATGCTTTTATAAGTTCTCTGGTTTGGTTAAGACGATTTGTAAGGCATATCCTTAGTCTTTCGAAAGGGACCTAATGTGACAGTACTTTGACCTTATGATATTTCTGAGATCTTAGCAAAAGGTTGTTTGGCCTCACCTCATCCTTCTCTCTAGAACACACTTTCCTGACAGGGAATATCTTGATTTTATTATTTTTTGCCATGTGGAGAAGTTGAGAATTATCAACATCACCAAATTCTGGTTTATTTTGTTTTAACAGTTCTTAACTCAATGTATCTCTCTCCTATCACACTTTACTACAAACAGCAAGAAGAAACCAGGCAGCGCTGTCAATGCTTTGCCTGGAACTAATCTTAGCTATATATGCAGGTTCTTGATGTATTAGCTTTGCTTTCCGTATAACCACAGGAGAAAATTTTGCTAAGCTTACTGCCATTACATAAAAAAGATCTCCCTTCCAATCAAATGTTGCTCACTTGCTTCTAAGTCCTCAATAGCAGCTTCTTTAAAGACCAGATACCTACTAACCATCTGAGATGATTTAAACTTTCTCTGTCATGATCCTCAAAATTCTTACAGCTCTGCTCACTGCTTGGTTCCAAAGCTGCTCCCACAGTTTTAGATATTTGTTACAGCAGTACTCCATTTCCAGTACTAAAATCTGCATTAGTTTCCTACTGCTGCAACAACAACAAAAAAGCCCCACAAACTTAATGTCCTAAAACAACACACATTATTATCTCACTTTTTCTTAGGGCACAGCTTAGCAGAGTCCTCTGCTCAGGGTCTCACAGGCTGTAATCAAGGTGTCAACCAGCTGTATTCTCATCTGCAAGCTCAGCTGGGGAAGGCTCTTCTTCCAAGTTAATCGATGTTGTTGGTAGGTTTCATTTCCTCGTGGCTTTATGACTGAGGGCCCTGGCTTATTACTGGCTGTTGGCTGAAGGTTGCCCTGAGGTTCTGGAGACCACAGCAGTTCCGTGTCAGAAGACCCTCTCCACAGGCAGTTCACAGTATGGCTTTATGTAATCTAATCGTGGAAGTGACATCTATCACCTTTGCTGCATTCTGTTGGTTAAGGAGCAAGGCACAGGTTCCACCCACACTCGAGGTCATACAAGGGCACAGATTGTTGGGGGTGGGAGGGCACCTTGCAATGTGCCTACCACAAGAGAATAAGAACTAGATTGTAGTGAGTGGCAGAATGAAAAGTGAGGAAATGAAGATAATAAATATAGAAAAATGTCCAAGATTTGATTGTGTCAGAAATAAGAGAAAAAGTCAATAACTGGAAAGGTCAGGGGGCAAAAATAGAGGTTTTTTGGGTTTTCGTGTTTTTTTAGTTAATGATAGTTATTCATGATTAAATGCTTATGGAATGAAACTTAAAAAGAAGCTAAAAATACTTAAGGAAGAAAAAATATGAATAATAATAACTAATGTTTATTAAATCATCACCGTCACAAACTGAAGTGTTCAATATCATTAAGTTATCAGTTCTCCCTAAAATAATCTAATGATTCAATATAATTTAAATCAAAATTCCAAGAGAGTTGTTCATGGATTTCACAACCTGAATTTATTTTTTATTTTTATTTATTATTTTTTTTCCTTTTTGTCTTTTTTCATGTCCGGCAATGGATCGCAACCCTCAGTGTCGTGCCCGTACCGGACCGGGACCGGCAACGGGATCGCAACCCTCGGTGCTGCGCCCGCACCTCGCTCAGCCAGTGAGCGGGAACCGGTCTGTATGTGGGATCCGAACCCTCGGCGGGAGCACCGCCGCGCTTCCCAAGCGGCACACTGTAGCAGTGTGCCACCGGGCCGGCCCACACAACCTGAATTTAAAACATACTGTATGTGGTAGAGTAAAGGCTCAAGAGTAAACAGGAATCTCCCAGAGAAGAACATGGTATGGGCACTTGCTCTATCAGACAGATAGCAAGAAGTACCGTGAAGCTACAGTAACCAAGACATTGTACTACTGGGCCAGGAATAGAAAAACTGACCAAAGGAACAGAATAGAGAGTCCAAAATCACACATGTTCCACACATATGCAAAATGTATAATATGATCGATGTAGCACTGCAGATCTTTGTGTTAAGGAGAACATTTCAATAAATGATACTGAAACATTTTAATGGAGAAAACTAAAAATTTACCACTATTTCACACTAAAAAAAATCAACTTAAGATAAGGGTCTTCAATGGAAAAAGAAAAACTTTAACCTCTGTTTATAATAGGAACCATATAAACAATTTGAAAGATAAGCAACAAATTGTGAGATGATACATAGCACAAAACCAAAAATTAGTATACGGAATTTATTTTTAAATCCCTAAAATCAATGAGAACAAGACAAACAAAAAAAGTGTGTACAAAATTGACATAACAGGAAATATGAGTGGTTGACAAACATAAAAATATGCTCAACCTGATGTTCAAACTGAGAAATGTGAAATAAGACTACAATCCACCCAACTGGCAAAAAATAAAGTCTAACAATTCCAATTATTATAAAGGATGCAGACCAACAGGGACCTCATACACTGCAGGTGGAGAATAAATTGGTACAACCCTTTGGAAGAAATGTGTCATTGTCTTAAAATTTAAACATTCATACTCTCCACATACCAGCAAATCTACTACTAGGAATATATCCTGAAAAACTACTCCACATATTAACAGAAGACATGAAAAAGAATATTTAGAGCAGCCCTAATCTTAAGAGAAAAAAAGAGAGAGAAGAAATAACACTAATGTTAACAGAAGAATAAATAAATAAATAGTATAGTCTTGTGAAAAAAATATTTAAAGTGTTACACTAAGCACAATATATAAATTGCATTAGTAGGTTTAGTAAATGTTACTCAGAGGACTTTTCACCTTGGTTCTCTTGGCCTTCATTTGGGCTTTTGCTAATACAGCATACATTGTTATCTCGGATCTACTCCAAGAGATCCCTTCCAAGACCTGAATGGCCTTGTCATGGTTTTCGCAAAATGAATAAATGAGTGCTTGCTGTATAGGACTCAATTCAATGAGACCTAAAAGGAAAGGACAGTTTATCAATACCTTCGCCAACTAACAAAGATTTAGAATATAATTATTTTAAGGAAGTCAAGCAATTCAATAATGTTTCTTTATAATATGAATTAACAAATTAATACTATACTAAAATATACTTGCTACCAGCAAACAATAAGACATTACAATTACAAACAAAAAAGTAAAATTGTAAGCCTGGCATTTCCTATAATAACCTCAAACACAAAATTCACTATGTTATGAATCATTTTACTAATTGATTATGTACAATGTGGAACTGAAGTTTCAAGATCTAACTCTGACTTTCAAGTGAATCCCTCATGCTATCTATACATAGCTATTGCAAATAGTATAAATATTTTAAAGAGGTATTTCTTAAGTTAAGACAAGTACAATCTTTCATTAATTATATTATTTACCTTTGTTCATTGCTGCTACTTGATAAATAGTGAACTTTGCTAGATCATAACATTTCAGCATAAGAAGATATTGTCCTCTGGAAGAAATAATAGCTTTTTGAGTCTAAGTTTTTAAAAATAATTTTCATAAAATTGTTTCTTATAACAAGTTACTTAAAATTTTAGAATTACAATGCATTCATTCATATTTACATATGTATGCATAAAAACAATGTGAAAATTATAGACATGTTATATAGTCTAAATAGACCAATTAGCACGGAGAGGTGATGAGAAAACAATTTAGGAAATGTGATGCTGAAAGGAAACTACTCAAATCTCTCTTTGCAGTTATCTGTATTTAAAATGTTGTACTTTGTTGCTGAGAAACTGTTAAAAGATAAAGTTCAAGAGATATAAAAGGGGGGAAGTATTTACATAAATTGCTAACATGTTGTTCAAGAGTTAAAAGACAAAGCAGGCCCTTATCAGAAAGCATTGCTCCATTCCTTTTCCCCAAGCCTATAAATCCTTAGAGATTATATTTTTGGTAGTGATAACTCACAACTTGTAAAGCCTTCCTTTATAGCAAGCTTTACAACATTTTAAGTACAAATCAACGTGTCACTTTGTTTTCTCACTGATTAGCAGACCTATATGTTTGTTACCACTGTGGACGCAATCAAAACAACTGTTCAAAATATACCTTCCTCTCATGAGATACGTGATAACTATATAACTAGCAATCTAGAAAGACCTCAAAGAATTTAAAGACTAAACAGCTGTGTTTTGATGCAAGGGTAAGGCAAACAGAAAGATCTGGTTATCTTATGTAATAAACTACCTTAAAGTTAAACAAAAATGATAACGACCTCTACCTCTTGCTGGCTGGTTGGGGAGACGGTCATTGCTGGGAGATTAAATGGAAAACGAGGAGGCTGGAAGGATCAAGAGGGAACTAAAGATCCCAACAACTTGCTCAGAATGTAAGTTATCCCAAGAATTCGATTTCTGTGCTTGTACCTTATTATATATAGTTGGGTTCCGTCTGGCTGAAGGTGAATAGCACGAGATAACTCTTTTACAGCCTTCTTCAATTTATGCAACTGTTGAGTGATAAACAGAAATTTAGTTCCCAATAATACAGATTGCTTCCCTTCCCCTCCCACCCTTCAATATATAAATTTTGCAGGGAAATCTCTTAATACACATATTTTTCTTAAGAATCATCAAAGCAAATACAGAGGAGTGAAAAAAATGTTCACGATGCAGTCTTTTGGTTTTTCAAAATCATTTATCATTAATTTGGAAGAATGATTACATAAGCCCACATACGTAATTTTACATAAATGTGATTATATGACACATTCTAGTTTGCATGTCTGTGTTTTCCTTTTTTGTTTAGCTTTTCAATTTTTTCCTTTACCTTCTTCACCAAACTTCACTTGTGTTTAGTAAACTAGCGTGCAAAGGAGGGTACAATAAAATTAAAAGTCAATTCTACTTAAAAAATAAGGCAGGAAAACTAAGCTCACACCAAATTAGGTAAATGAATGAATAAAACAAAATACAAGAATGATGGGGAAAAAGAGACTCATTTAACATCAATATATAATGAAAAGTAAACATTGATTCTTCCCTTAAAACTAGTCACAGAAACAATCTGAATTTGTACAAATTTGAGGACAAAAGTCAACTGCCTTTGGAGATACAAAAGGAGCATTACACAGACCCCAGCACAATTAACCGGGGACAGCCAACCACTCCTCTTCCTAAAATGACAGGATGATGGAAAGAAGAGAATGAACAAAACTAATCTTTACGTGGAAGTAGGCAGTACTCGTAGAAACTGTACAAACTGTTTGGAGGAAATAGTGCGTGGAGTCAAAAGAGGGAAACCAAAAGGAGGAAATTTGAGATTTGTTTAAACAAATTTAAGAATTTCTACGGAACTTTTGGCCTGATGCTTCTTAAGCTGACCCTGCTCAGGTTGGTGTAATCAATAAGTCATCTAGTCATGTGTCCATGCTGCTACACCTGTTCTACCAACCCTACATATCTATGCATTGAGTAAACCCTGGTTTGGGACACATGGAGGCTCACGCTCTGATGTCTACCAGCTTCCCTGTGGTTGAACCTCTAACAGACAGCCTTAGATTAGATTCACTCTGGAGGCTGAACACAAACAGCAGGAGTATGTATTCTACACACATATGCAAGGGTTGATTTATAACTGTTTCATTTACATGGAGTCCTATTGTACACACTTTATACTCTTTTCTGAATCATACTTTTCTTACTCAAAAATATCTCATGGAAATCCCTCCAACTCAGCTGGCATAATTCTATTTATTCTTTTTATTGACCTGTAATATTCCAGAGAGTGAATACACCACAATTTATTCAACCATTATTGTGTACAGATATTTGCCTCTCAGAACAAAGAGTCTTTGAATATTTGTCCTCACACCCTGTTATGCTGGTGCTTCGGTTGCTACGTGCGCTCAAGGGAAACTCCAACTTCCCCAAATGGCTTCAGCTTCATTAGCAGGGTTAGGTTAAGCAAATGAACCACACGTCATGAGTATGTCCTTTCCTTACCCAACAGGAGTCAAGAGCAAACTTCTCCTGGAAAAGAAAGGTAGGAACTTTGATGGGACCCTAGTCACACTAGGTCCTAAAATGCGGACAATGGAGAGCAGAGTGTCCAGGCAACCCCCAATAGATGGGTAGTGTGAGCAAGAAATAAACATTCATTTTAATAGAACAATTGAAGTTGTTTTTTTACCACAGCATAATGTAGCCTATCCTGACTGGAACCAGTCTACCTAAGGGACTTGCAGGAAATGAGGACAGAGAGATGATGAAGAGCCAGGTCATGAAGGCTCTTGCAGGCCTTTGGTTTTTGTGGAATTTGGTTTTTGTTCTAAACACAAAAGGAGGCTATTAAAAGGTCTGAGCAAAAAAGTGAAACAATCTGACATGTTTTGACAGGATCACTGTGGCTGCTATGTTGAAAATCCATTGAAAGTAGTAAAGAGCAGAAGTAAGAAGACCAGGAGGCTACTGCAATAATCCTGGTGTGGAATGACACTGTCTTGTGCAGGGCAATTAGTGGAGAAGTGGTGGAAAGCGGTGTCTGTTTTGAAGGTTAGAGACAAGAATTAATGGTGGTTATCTCTGTAAGGTCAGATTTGGTTGGAGTAGGAGAGGACTGTTACATTTAAAAAAGAAATTGCATTTATTTTTAAATTTAAATAACTTATAAAATTAAATAAAATTTAAAGCAAAGTATGAATCCTTAGGATTCCATTCTATGCATGGATCCCATTCTATGAACCCACCCACACACCCCCCAACCCACAAAACATTGAACTAATAGACTCCAAAATGTTAATAGTAGTTAACTCTAGAGAATTGAACCATAAATATTTTTCAATTTATTCCTATTTGCATACACATATTACCTGCAATAAATATACATACATATATACTGCTTTTGTAACTAAAAAAAAAACATAGATATTATTACAGTTAACTATATCTTATTAATATTTATTGCTTATAAAGCATTAACCTCTACAATTAGCTAAAAAAATACATTAATATATTAAACATTATATTGAACATATATCCAGAAAATTAAAACTTTTTTTAAAAAAATAAAAGTTCTCAAGCCTTAAATACCTTATTATAGGTTTCTGCTCGACAAATATAGCTTTGAATATATAAAGGATCAATTCTAATAGCCTCAGAAAAATGCCAAATGGCTTCAGTGTAGTTATCCAGTTGCAGCAAATGTATGAGGCCAATGTTTATATAAGCCAAAATAACAGTTCTAAAGTAATGAGAAAGCAAAATCTCATTAGACATTTTTAATTTTTCCAAATCTTCTACAATCATGAATGAACCTAATGAAATAAATACGTCAGTATACACCAGGGTATTCTTAAATGCTTTACTAAAGCAAAGAAAATTGAGTTAATTACTTCCTATTGAAAACTATAAACACCTTTATAAAATCATTGGTAAGGAATGAACATTTGCGTAGTCTGTGCTAGGAACAGAAATCCTGAAGTCTCCTAAAATGTGGCACTACTGCGTTCTTGCTTGACTTAATCTTGAGTTATCTTGAATAGCAAGCTTAGTTCTCCTCAACCCAAAAGTTCTCCTCAACTCAAAAGTCTTTGCCTCAGGCTATGCTATACAGGCCACGACTAACAGTGAGAAACAGTAAGAAACAGTCATATTCTAGGGTTTGGTGGCTTGAGGTCAAAATCCCTATCCCCCTGGGTATTAATGCAGCTGCTTTTCTACATCAAGTAAATGTTTTTCTCTCTTAGAATCAAACAGTTTTCACTATAGAAATGACCTTAGAAATTGCCTTATGTGTGGGCCAGCCCGGTGGCGCACTGCTACAGTGCGCCGCTTGGGAGCGCAGCGGCACTCCCGCCAAGGGTTTGGATCCCACATACAGACCGGCCACTCACTGGCTGAGTGAGGTGCGGACGCAACACCGAGGGTTGCGATTCTGTTGCCGGTCCCGGTCCGGTGACACTGAGGGTTGCGATCCGTTGCCGGTCACGTAAAAAGACAAAAAAAAAAAGGAAGAAATTGCCTAATGTGATGCCTCTATTTCAAAGTGAGGAAACTACACATTTAACAGCCCAAACTGATGGAAGCCCTAACCCTTTGCCCAGACACCAACACCTCTACTGCCAGCTTTCTGACTCTTTGCAACTGAAACTTTTTTTCTCTTCCTTCCTGGCTCAGAAATGTCTGAAAGAAAACCACTGTGGTCATTATAGAGGCACACTCCATGACTTTCCCAAGTCAAGTTCAAAGTTCATCTTAGATAAGCTAAGTAAACAGTCTGCTGGTTGGCATGGAATTGGCATAATTAGTTGCTCCACTTTAATGAATGCTTCATAGGAAAGAAGGAGAAATACTTAATTAATTTCTATGATTTACAACTTGGCTGACTAGTGTGTTTAACTTTCAATCTGTGTTTCTTCCTGAACCTATGGTCTA